GTGCATGGCAGCTGGATGTTGGAATACATCGGGTAAAAGTGGATTCCTGATCCTCCACGGACGGGTTGGTCGTTGGATCGCCAACTTGAAGAGGGAGGATTTGCCATCGAACTTCTGGCCAGAGAAAAAACACGTCATTAACCCGTTTCTCTCTGCTTCTCATTGTGCACTGGTGGTCACCATCATGGATGATGGGGCGTTAAATAATCCTCTGTTTAACTTTTGTGTAACGAGACAATGTTGGTTTGATAAGTGCTTCCACTTCTGATTCATAAGCAATGCCTCCTGTTCTGTCACCGGGTGTTTTCCGAACAGCCCCGGTGTTACACCTGTAACAGGTATAAGATGCATTAACCCCCAAAAAGAGTCCAGATTAAAGATTTTTAATTAAAAAACAGAAAGATTCATGACATGACAATGAGTGAAAAGAAAAAGGAAACTGTGATTGCACAACTACAGGCACCTCAGGCATGGAGGGACTGGTAATCCAGGGCTGTTGGCCAGATTCAATCATTACTCATACAGGTTAATCAGCTCGTCTGAAGATATCAATCACTGTTTTCTCGTGATAACGAGATAATTATCCTGTTACCTCGAGACAATAATTAATTGTTTAACGAGATAACGAGATAGTTATGTCATTATCTCGAGAAGGTTGAGCATGACCGCTCTCGGTTATAAAACAACAAAGGAAAACAGACAAAGTTTACTTTATAATGTGTTATATTACTCTGTTACTGCCGAACGTAATATTACGATAACACAGGCTTGGACTGGGAACAATTACCGGCCCATCTACACCTGAATCAAGACCGGCCCTCCGGGCAAATGCCCAGTATCACAGCTTACCAGTCTGAGCCTGCGGTAACGCGTTACTTCTGTAGCGAATTACTGACTCCACTGCTTATTTAACAGTAGTAATGATAAATATGACCTTCTGCTCCAGTATTCATGCATTTTTTCTGTGTTGTGATCAGGGAGGAGCATTTGTGGTGAAGCTGTTTGAAGAGTACGCTACGGGCCCCGCTGTCATCACCGTGGTTTTGCTGGAGGTCATCGCCGTGTCCTGGTTCTACGGTCAGTGACTTCAGCAGTGTGTGTTTACCATTGCAGCTGTTGTCTCAGTCCAAACCAAATACTGCATTGAAAATGTTGCCAAGTTTTTCCCAGAAGGATTACAGTTGTGGTCTCTTCCATCTGATATCAGAGATCTGATTGTTCCTTATGTTCCTAACAGAGCACTTCGCTCTCAATCTGCAGGTTTTCAGTTGTTTTTTTCTTGGAATTTCTAAAAGTAGAATGGGAGGCAGATCTTTTAGTTATCAGGCTCCTCTCCTGTGGAACCAACTACCAGTTTTAGTCCGTGAG